CCAGCGGATGGAAGCGGGCGAGGGAAGCCCCAGGACCCCTCCTCAGAGGCAGGAGCTCATGAAGCAGCAGAGAAGGACGTGTGCTACTCCCACTCCAAGAGAAATGCCCTGGGCGAGGATCCCTGGATTTACCCAAGGGATGACGTGCCACGCTTGGCGGTGCTGTGATCGCTGTGGTCACCGCTGCCTAGCATCTGTCCCTGCAACGCCGGTGCCATCTGAGGTCTTTCCGGTGGACACCTCACTCCTCCTCGCGCCCAGCCTCTGTTCCCAGCCCCTGGCTGCATTTCTCAGTCGACTCTCTCACATGGGTGTACCTGGTGACCTTATATCCCAGTCCCTAATGGGACACTATAGCAAAAGCTTTTTCACAGCTCCATTAAATTATACCTCAGCTTCACCCATCTGCTTCCCAACTGACACTTTCTGATATAAATTAATCAAGTCTATTCAATTATAGCTGCCTTTCTGTAAGGCCTCTCACTGATGCACACTTTCGAGATGCTTCTCTCCCGTCTCAGGGCTACAGCGAGCCCCTGGATGGTGGCTGGAGTGATGGTCAGCTGGCATTTACCCCCAGCTGCAGGAGAGGATTTGTCCCCAGGTCCCCTGCAGACCCTGTCATCCTCAGGGACCCTTCCCCAAGCTCAGGCACCCAGCTCTGGAGTAGGAGCTGCCCTTCTGGGTGCCAACGTCTGTCTCGCCCATGTTACTTAGTCTTATTTCCTTTCTCTTTTGGCCTCCCAGGAATTTTCTAGAACCTCCACTCATCCTGAAGATGAATGAAAAGCAAATACAACCAGGCCATAGGGACACTGAAGTAATTTCTGCACTGTCACCCTGCAGCGTGGGGCTTCTGGACAGTTTGAGCTCATGCAAGTGGGAATCTCGTTTCCCTGCTTGCTTCCCTCTCCTGTCTGCAGCGATGGGGTTTCTGGGAGAAGGGAACAATGGCCGAGTTGTGCTGGGGGAATGACAGTTACTCCGCAAAAGGAGACTCCAGTTTGTATTTTGCGCTGTCTCTGAACCGTTCTCAGGTTGAGGAGCTGGCGCTGGGGAGCTGTGGCTTCATTTCCTACTTTACCATCCCTTCTGGGGCACAGCTTCTGCATCCTATGGGACTGGGGTGCTGTGGGAAGCCACAACGCCCAGGACAGCCCCTTCCCCCCCAGTATAACATCAGTCCCCCAAGACCCCGGAGGGACCAAGGCGATGCATATGGTGCCATGCGTGCAGGAGGAGAAGGTGGCACAGTGGTGGGCTGGGCTGCTCGACAGACAGATGGCCACGTTTTTAACCAAAGAGAGGGTGGGGACATTTTATATTTTTAATGTTTCAGATCAATTTATGTCTAGGTTACATAAAGCATAGATATTGAGAGGATTTACAAAGCGTAGCTAAGAGAAGTGAGGGAGAACAAGGAGGGAACAGAAACAGAGTGTACAACGAGGTGTGACAATTTCTAATTCCTGAAGAGTCAAGAAACTAAAATAAGAGCGAGCAGACATTCTATTTTAAATGGGCTGTACCGCACGGCTGGACGTGAACTGCTGCGTGGGGAATCCTGTACCAACACCACACACGCATACAGTTTCACAGAGCATGGTGCAGTCCCATCACAGCACTTGAACTAAGACTTTGGACACAATAAGGACACGATACAGATTCTGCCTCCTGGACAAAACCGGCTTGGCTGCTCAGGTCAGCGTGCACCACTGTGAGCTCAGAACAAACAGCTTTGCCACCCCATCGTGGCCAGTTATCCCAGGGAAACCCACCAGTCACATCCCACACAGCCACGCTCCCTCCTGGCTTCCCAGTGCCAATTCCCCTACCAGCATCATTGTTCCTACCGCAGCCTGCTCCTCAATCCCAACAAATGGCGATTAGATGCATATTCTCTGTGAGGAGAAAACCCAAGAACACAGCCCAAAGGCTTCCCAATAGCATGGACCCTCTGAAGACTCCTACCTGGGACACGGACTCCATGCAAAGGGTTAGAAAGCGCCATTCCAATCTCAGTCATCCCGTACCTCTCCAGCAAGGTGTGCCCAGTGATTCTCTTCCACTTCTCCAGGACAGGCACAGGCAGGGCTGCAGAGCCTGAGACCATTAACCTGGACAAGGAAACCCCATATAAGAAAGCATCCACGATCACCTTTGCTCCAGGGAATCTGCAGTCTAACACTGCGTTACATAAAGCCTGCTCCATGTAAAAACTTAAGACAGAAGCCCCAAAAACCTTTCAGCTGCTACCAAGGGGTCTCCTCACACGTAGAAGATTCTCTGTGGGTTTTAAATTAAGATGGGATGGCCTCCTAAGAGAGATACTGCAACACAAAATCGGGTTGCAGGACAAGGTCCTTAGTCCTGTGCTATGTAGGGTGATACGTATAACGAGCACGCAGACCCCTTCTCACTTTACCATGCAAGAGTGGCTCATAAATAATGTCACCATGGTTCTTGTCAAAGAGACACTAAAGCACAACAGCCAGCACTGCAAGGAGGTGATGCTGAAAAGGCACCTCGGCAGATCCACCGTGGAGACAGCCAGCCACCAGCAGCCCCTGCCCAGAGGGACATCGCTCACCTACCTGATGTTCTCCTGGCAAAAGGCATGCACGAAATCCTGGACTTGTGGCTGAGAGAAATGCTTGTCATAATGCTCTATCAGCTTGGCATAGATAGTGGGCACTGCCATGAAGACACTGACACGGGGAGCTTGGGAGCTTAGCAACTTCTTCCAAACCTAGAAAGTAAGGGAACATACACATATAAAAACACACCTCAACATAAAGTGGAGATTGCCAGCGCTGTCGTGACAACTCCTCAGCACCTCTGAAGGTTCACAAGGGAGGGTTCTGCAAACACTTCATGGGGCAGCGAGCCCTGCCACTGCTCCTTTGTAGGGTGCAAAGGGAAACTGAGGGACAGGAGTGGGACACGCTTGTCCAAAGCAAAATCACCCTGGTCTGGATATAAACCTCTGCTATCTAAGGCTTCTGGAAAGTACAAACAACCCAAAGCCTGTTGTGTGCACCTCATCCAGGTGCAGAACAACAGCTCCCAACCCTCTTCATGCCCCTTATTGCCAAAAGCACAGTATTTGGCTCTCTTTCATCCCACCAGTGGATCACCCACCTACTTTCACTCTCAGCGAGCACAGGATGATGGAAATGGCATTTTTTTAGTACCATCATGTTACAGCCAAGAATTTTCTCATGAAGACACACGCTTGTAGCAGAATCCGTTAATTCCCTTATCATGAACTGCTCTTCAGAGGCCACACAAAGCTTTTCAAAGCATGGGAGCTCTTCTTTGGAAAGACACTAAGTCACATCCAAAGAACACAGCACACAGGTAGGAGCCCACAGACTTGAAACCTTTGAGGGAGAAAAATGCTTTTAAGACGGATGGCAGGGCTGGGAAGAGAGATAACAAGTACTTGAACTGGAAGCAAGCCTCCACTGCAATGGGAATGGTTGTTTTCTGGTGAGTAGGCGCAGAGACGTGCCCCAGTGAGCTCACATCAGTCAGCAGAAACCAGAGGTAAAGCAGCTGCAGCCAGGAGAGAGCAGCTAGCCAGGAGGGCCAGTACACCAACCAAGCGAGGAACAATTCCTGTGGGACAGATGTTCTTCAGCTGCACCTCCCGCTAACCTGTGGGAATGGGGGCAAATTCCAGGACCTAGCTCTGCTGAGGGAGTGCATGAAGACTGCGTGACCCCCAGCTGCTGCCCTGCCTGAGCAGCCCCACTTGGGAGCAGTTACCAACGGGTAGGAGCCATAAATATTACAACTGAGCCATTTCCTTCCACACCTTACCACTCTTCCCCCTCTAGGTAAGCCCTTCCCAAGACAGGAACGATCCAGAGCCATCAATAAATAAAAGGCTACGGTGACGGCCGCGCTTTCCCTTTCGCTCCGGTCCCTGCCCCGTTGTTGACAAATGTACTTCCTAACAGGTCCTGACAAGGCGCGCCGCCTCTCCCCTCCCTGCCCACGCACGCTCAGCTGCGCACCGGCGCGTGCCACGGCCCGGGAACGCGGGAATTGATTGAAGGTGAACAAGCGATTCTCCTTCATGCTGTCACTCTGTCCCCTTCCCCCTCCGTCCCGCTTGCTCGGGCTCTATTTCATCATTTTCTACTCGGCTGCGCCGGTGCCACCTCCCCCCGGCATCTCTCACTCCACTGCTTCAGAACAATCGGCTCCTAAAAAAACCCAACACCCCACCTCCACCATGTTGTTCCTGTTAATAAAGCAGGGCACAGCCGACAAAGGCACCATCCCACCCAACCGGGGGAATTCACGCACATCCCGGCCCGGAGATGGTCCTTGATGGGGCGAGATTAATGCACAAGGTGGAAATCCCCTGGACACCTCGGGAGCTGGGCCATGAGCGCTGCACGATACCCTTGGCACCAGGGAAAGCTGAGGAGGAACAGGATTTTCCCGGATGGATGGGTTATGTGCCTGGAGAGGGAACATTGCAGAAACCCCACCTACCAGCACGACCCCTGAAAGAAGCCAGAAGAGGCAAAATTACATTTAGGGAGTATCTGATCCCTACCACACTCCTCCCAGCCTCCTTCCCCAAAGATCTCTCTTCAACCCCCCAGTATCTTCCCCATACGAGGCAGCAGGATGGAGAAGGACCTCTCCCAAGCCAGGGGCTGAATGCACAGGCCGACTCTCCAGCCCAGTGCTCCCAAAAGCCATTGCCTTGGGCAGGGAGAGACGGACAACAGCGAGCAGGGATCGGGACTATTCTGAAGGACTTGAAGGGAGACAGATGCTTGGGGCTGTTCCATCCTTGCTGTGTGGGTTTTTCTTGTCTTCACAAGTCCAGAGCAGCTGTGGGGAGTGCAGACAGACTTCCAGTCTGGCCATGCAGCAGAGTTATTTTCACATGGATTTGGATTTGAAAAAAACCCAAAACTATCACTCCAAAACACAGCAGAGCTCTCCCGCACCCCAGAGTCCCCTATCCTCACCAGCCTGTTCACCTCCTGCCCCAGATAAAATCCTCCCTACAGCCACTCCAGCAGCTTTTTCTGTGTCAGTCCAACTCGCCCCAGCAACAACCCCTTCCTGAAGATAAGCAGCTGCCTCTGGATTTGTTCCCCCAGCTGCTGGAGTGATCTGCTGACAGCCAAACATCTCCACCTGTTCCGCTCCTGCTCAGCCAAATCTGGATCCTACCCACCTGTTTTAACGGTACTAAGCAGCGAGCCGTGGTACGGAGCTGGCAGCCCCCAGCCCTCTGCAGACCCCAAGCTGTCCGGAGGGTTCGTCACTGCCCAGCCAGCTGTAACAGCTATTTCAGTTTTATAACTATAACTTCACGGTTTGAGAGAAGGATCTGGGAAAGTCTCGTTACCTGGGACTAATCAATCAATCCCAGGGCTTGGACAGGCTCGTAGCAAGAGGCCCGCGTTCCCTTCCCAGCGCACGGCATCCTCCGACACCGTCAAGCTTAAGAGCAGCACAATCAATCTCCCCCTCCGTTATCCCATGTGTCACCGTCACCACATCAATTACCCGTGGACAGGGTATCGGCAGCCCATCATTTCATCTTATTTTGTTCACCTGACACTCCAAGACTCCAAATGTTTTCAAAAAAGCCACGGATTCTGGAGGCAAACACAGCACCGTGTGCCAGGGCTGCCGGACTTTGCACCAAGTGCTCACCAGGCACGAGGGAAGAAGCAGTCTTCCAATGGAAAATGTTCAGGAGACGGACAAAGATTCCTTTTAAGATAAACAGGGGCTAGAAACAAAAAGCTTCTAACTGCAAGAAAGCAAGAGTGGGAACAGCTTCCTGTCAGCCATAACGGCAGCGGAAGCCCAGGGCAAGCTTACAGGACAGGGCTGCCCAAGCCAGCAAAGAAGTGGGAGACCTTCTGTTCCCAAGAGCCTTCCTGTCAGCCTGACATTCCTGATTTTCTTCCCCTCCTACTGCACAAAAGCATATCCGGGCAATTCCATGGGCTGGCCAGTGGGATTTTTTCATCAGTAAACTAAAAAAAAGGAGAAAATTATATCAGTGGGTACAAAACAACCCCAGTGAGACACAGCTGTACGAGCGTTCCCTTGTGTTTCTTCCAGCACACAGATGGCACAACAGTGAATGAGGATGGAGGAATCACTGAATCACAGAACGGTTTAAGTTGGAAGACAGTCTGGTTCCAACCCCCCTGCCATGGGCAGGGACACCTTCCACTAGACCAGGTTGCTCCAAGCCTCATCCAGCCTGGCCTTGGACACTTCCAGGGATGGGGCATCCACAGCTTCTCTGGGCAACCTGTCCCAGTGCCTCACCACCCTCTCCGGGAAGAATTTAGGGATGGTCCTTTCATACAGAAAACTTCCCAACCAGCCTCCAGACCTACTAAGATCACCTGAAGCAAGAGAAGCAAACACAGAGGAGAAAAGGCAGTCCCTTTTTTCCCTTTACAGAGGCTTCACCTTCAGAGGGAGACGCGCAACGCCGTAAACTAGACAGAAAACACCAAATCTACCAACACCTGGGCACCTTCGAGTGGAAAAAAACGCAAGAACAGAAGGTGGCAACACCTATTTGTGATGTTAAATCTCGCAAAAGTTTGCCTGATACGGGAATTCCAAAACCAGCCGGAAGAGAAGCAGGAAAAAACGCCTACAAGCTGAAAAGGAAGCGGGTATCAGCATGGATTCCCCCATCAGACCGCAAACAGATAATAGACAGCCCGTGCTGCTGCCTCTATTGACAGACACAACAGCTCCTCTCTCCTACAAAATGATTGTATCATTTTCAGCTGTTATTGAATTTTTTTTAAACCTTTTCAAAAAAGTAACAATACCCCTAATGCAAGGTTAAATCATCCCTTTACTTCCCTTTTGTTCGGGGAGACGGGCTTGTGTTTTGCATCGATCGCTGCCACGCAGGTAGCGCCGCCGGTGAGAAAACGGGCTGCCGGCAATTTTCAGCATCTGCGAAAGCAACAGGCAGCAAGACGGCTGCAGCCGAAGCAGCTCCTCGCTTGGCGAGACCCTGCCGAGGCCAGAAAGCTCCCGTAACTCTACAGGAGCACCGAAGGGATGGCAGGGCCAGCCACCCCCATCCGACCCCGGTTTATCCCTGAGAAAGGCAGATGGGCACACCACCACCTGGGAGAGCATCACGGGGAGCGCTGGTAGGGATGAAGCCAGGGATGCTTCGTGAGCAATATGCAGAGAGAGAGAAACATTCTTCTCTTCAAAGGGAAATTGGGCCCTCGGTGGCTTCGTCTCATGTTTGTTATAACCCCAAACTGTTTGCGCTCTGCACGACTCTGGTTTTAATCATTTATTCATCACTGCAGTTTGATGGCCCCTCTGCATTCCAGGCTGAAGCTTTTAAACCCTTCCTATTCTGTAGGCATACTGAAAGGAGCAAGTGCTTTCCCTGGGACCTGGTAATCTAAGTCAATATGACAGGCTCTGGTTCCATTTTTTATATTTCCCCACACACATCAAAAGGCATTACTCCGTAACAGATGCTGAGGACAGACGGCAGATCTGGGGAGACGGGAAGAGAAACTCTAACTTTTTAAAGCCAGGTCTGTGAGAAGTGATCAAACATAATCCATTCACTAGTGACCTGCTCCTCCCTCCACTGACTCCTCTTTGAGTCTGAAATAAAATTACTCCTCTGAAGCCTCCCATTAACGGATGAAAAGACAATTGCCTTTCTCCAGCTGAAACTGGATGGGAGACACAATCCCC